AGAAGTAGCCAAGTGAGCAATGCAGTCCTCAGAGGCCACTGCAGTGATGCCAGCCGGGCCTCTGGCATTCAAAGCTTCTAGGGAAGGGGCGACATGAGCTGCTCACTCGTATGTGGAACCTAATGAACGAAGAAACTGACAAACAAAACACAAACAGAGGCAGGGACACACGGAGCAGACTGACAGCTGCCGGGGGCGGGGGCGGGGAGCAAAGGGGAGGGGTGTGGATGAAAGGAGGTGTAGGGGTCAGCGGAAGAACACGAATGCATAGCCCACGGACATGCACGGCAGTGTGGTGATGGCAGAGGGAAGGGGCAGCAGGGGCTGGGTGAAGGTGGGCAAAGGGAGGGAAAGGGCGACATCTGCAATAGCGTCAACAATAAAGATAAAGTGAAAGCAAAGAGTGGCATGATGTAAAGCAAACACAAAACAGCCACAAAACAGGAAGGGGCGCGGAGAATGGAAAGTGACACTTGCTGTTTGACCAACGTGTGCCAGGTTCTGTATTCGGGAATTTGTTTGCATTGTTCCGTGGGATCCTCGCCGTGGAATTAAGAAGTAGGCATCATGTGTTTCTAAAAAGCAGGCCAAGTGGTGCTAAGCAGTTTGCTCGAGGTTGCCCAGCCCACCAGTGAGGAAGCTGGGTTCAAACCCACATCTGATCCTGTCATCCATTTGCTTTCATTCTCTTAAAATTTTTAAAAATATTTATTTATTTTTAGAGAGAGGGGAGGGGAGGGAGAAAAAAAAGGGAGAGAAACATTGATGTGAGAGAGAAACATCAATCAGTTGACTCTTGCACATACCCTGACTGGGGACTGAACCTGCAACCCCGGCATGTGCCCAGACTGGGAATTGAACCAGTGACCTTTTGCTTTGCAGGACAATGCTCAACCCACGGACCCACACCGGTCAGGGTGTCATCATCCATTTTCTACGCAGGGGCTTGACTTGCCCATACACAGTTTCTTCTAGCACATTAATGACATAGGCCATAAAATGTGAGTCCGTGTCAAGATTCCCATAGGGAGACACAGTGGGACCCCATGAGGGTCGGGGGCGTTGAGAGACTGCAAGGGATGAAGCAATGCAAACAGTGAACCATCCATCCATCACTCTCACCGTGCAGTCCTGTGACCCTGATCCTTCTAATTCTGGCCTTTACATGAGTGACAAACAAGACGTGTGGGAGGAAAAGAGAACACCCTGAACTCAGAAAATGGTTTCAGGGTATTTAAAGACACATATTTTTCAACTGCAATTCTGGTTTGGCAGATGAACATAAAGAGTGTGAAGACAAGTGAACTGGGAGATATCTTGGGTGTCTTGATGATGAGTTCCTGTGAAACCTGGCTCAGCGAAGGGGCCAACGCGGGAACTGTTTCCCGCAGCCTGGGCGGCAGCTGACTCCCATCCGCTGCGTTCACGGTCTCTAGAGCTTCCTGATTTTGAATCTAGAAACCATTGGCAGGTTTTGAAAATCTCAATATAGCCAGACTCAACTACTCGTTCAAGGCTTGCAGGCACGCTAGACGTTCACGGAATGTTTGTTAAATAAATAAGGCAAGAGAGGAATACAGCTCACACTGAAATAAGGCAGAGAGAAAGAGAGAGGGGGGGGGTCTGAAGGGGGGAGAGGGAGAGAGAAAGCACACAGAGAGGGTAAGCAGAGCAGGTCCGGTGACCCCGTCCCCTGGACGGCCAGCGGAGAGAGGACAGGCCTCGGGCAGTGTTGGCCCCATGCCTGTCCCAGTGTGAGCCTCTCCCGCGGCTGTGTGTGTTACAAGTGTCTCAAGCTTTTTGTTTTCATACAACTTGGTCCCAGCGGGGCAGCTTTTCTTCTAGGGCCCCTCTGAAGGGCGAGTGCTCCGGAGGCTTGCGGACAACTGGGTTCTTGAATGTCCTGGGAGATGGATATTTCGGGGGTAATTTAACTACACACGTGTTCCACCCAAGAGGTGATTCCATGCCAGACAGTAGGATCAGATGGCTCAATGACTTCTGGGTAACAACTAGATACTTTCTGACCAGAGAGAGTTGACCCTTGAATGACGTTCAGTATGGTGTTTCCCCAAAAGAGGCAAAAATGAGAAAGTTAGAGATGGCACATCGGTGAGCAGAGATTAGAAAACGCAGCAAAAAAAGAAATGAAAGTAAATTCTGGTGTTTTCCACCCTCCTCTAAAAATAGTAACAGTTGATATTTTGGTGTATTTTCTTACAATTTGCTCTGCGTGTGTGTGGGTGTGTGTTTGATTTTGTAGAAACAAATCAGGCTGTGTGTGGTAGGACCTGCTTTACTCACTTACAAAATATGGTGGGCATTCACTCCACACCCGGAAGCACAGAACTGTACTATCCAAGCAAGGCCCGCCCAGGACCTGCGGGTCCTTCCCTGGGGTGACTGCGGCCAGCCGCTCTTTCTAGAAGCCAGCTGCCTGCTCCAGCCCCACCGTGAGGATGTGGTCACAGAAGCTGCAAACACTGGGACCCGTGGGGGGTGAGACGCAGGACGGAAGGTTTCGGCCATGACCGGCTTGCCTGCCGCGGACGACGCTGCCCCTGCCCAGAAGGCTGCGCGCCCCGCTCCACCAGCAAGCCTGCCCTTCACCCCAAGGCAGGAAGGCACTTGTTGTGACTCAGGAGGAGTCCTTTCCAAATACATTTTGCAGCTTTTAATTTTATTTATTTTTCAGCTCAAGCCACTAATTGAGTCAAATGTAAACTCATCCCACGAAACAGATATTGAGAGGATATTTAGGTGCCTTTTGTGTAAACCCTTTGAGATGAGGTCAAAGGAAACCCACAGGCTCCATTTCACTTCATCTCCATTACCGGCAAAGCTGCCTTTCCATTTGTGAATATTGCCTATTAACCCCCAGAGGTTTTGTATGAGCCACGTGTTTAACTTAACTCTCTAAAAATAAGGGGCTCATGATTTTCTTTAAATGGGTACTTATGCAGTGAAATCTCTCAGGCATTAGCGCCTACTTGATTGCATTCAGACATCATTTTGGCAACGCATGGCGGCACTAAATTAGCATCAAGCACAATGAATGGTAATTGCGAGACTGTCATTTCGACAAGAGCCAAATTGATGTGTTCTGCAAATCCACCCCATTGTGTGCACAGGAAAATCACAGGACAACACTGTCCTGAGCAGAAACACGCACTGCAACGTGTTTCTCTGCGGCGGTACTCTCTGGACGGCGATCGGCGATCCCGCCCTCCTCGCTGTGGCCTCCCGCGCGCTCTTAGGCCCCGTCTGACCTCATCCGTACTCCCACAGGACAGCGTGACCAGACAGGGGCCTGGGTGGACAGAGCTTGTTACGGGATAATTCCTCCTTCCGTGTGGCATCCTGTGTGAACAATGCCAGCAACACAGCCCTCACGTATCTCTGAGAGTATGAACAGGAAGCTCAGGTAAAGCCTCTTAGGAAGAGGCACCGCCACGGAGAGAAAACGTCACCCAAATGCTGTACATTCATTTAGAAAAAGAGGGATTCATGTGCATTTTGGTTGCAAGCGCAGGAAAGGTGTCGGCCCGCCGCCCTCCAGCCCTCCCGCCTACCTATGCGAAGTGCCCACAGGGCAGCGGAGTGAGTCCCAAGGGACAGGACATGCTCATGCACTGGGCCCTTGCAGTGTGCAGGCTGGCCTGTAGAGTTTATTGGGATTAAGGGAGTCACTCGGGACTGAAATAACGCAGTAATGACAGATACTCGGAGCTGACCGATAAGTTGGGGCATCTCAGTGTTCCTGCGGGACCGCTGAGGCTGAAAGCTGTGTAAGAGTCACAATGATGACCGTGACAGTCACGGGGCGAAGAGGCTTTCCTGGGAGGCCAGCTTGAGCCCAGTCTCTTCGCGGCCAGAGGTGACGCTGCGGTGGGTCAGGACCCGGGGCTGCGTTCACTGACCTACTGCAGCAACCCATCTGTCCCACGGGCTGGCCCCTCTGATGTCTCCCAGCAGCAGGGTCCCCTTTTAGAGGCCACTTACTCTGTCACTAAGGTGTCACATGGCTATTTGCTTGGTAATGTTGCGGTCAGTGCAGTGTGCTGGAATTTAGAATTTGCTTCTCATTTTTTTTTGTTGTTGTTGTTCAATTACAGTTGTCTCCATTTTCCCCCCATTTCTCTCCCCTGCCTTACCTACGTCCCCCCTCCCACATTCAGTCCTCTCCTCCCCACCCCGCTGTCTTTGTCCATGGGTCACTTACACATGTTCCTTGACTTGACCCTTCCCCTTCTTTCCCCTGTTATCCCCCTCCCCTCTCCCCTCTGGTCATAGGTTCTTTTGAATTGGTGTTTCAGGATTCTTAGGGTATAATCCCAACAGTGGAACTGCCAGGTCAAAAGGCAGTTCCATTTTTAGTTTTTTGAGGAAATGCCACACTGTTTTCCACAGTGGCTGCACCAGTCTGCGTTCCCACCAACAGTGCACTAGGGGCTCCCTTTTCTCCACAACCTTGCCAGCACTTGCTATTTGTTGATTTGTTTGTGGTGGCCATTCTGACCTGTGTGAAGTGGTATCTCATTGTGGTTTTAATTTGCAGCTCTCTGATGGCTCTTGATGCTGAGCATCCTTTCGTATGTCTCTGGACCCTCTGTAGGCCCTCCTTAAAAAGCTTCTGCACGGTTAAAGAAAACATCAGCAAAATGAAAAGGGAACCAACCATATTGGAAAACATATGTGCCAATGATACCTCGGACAGGAATTTGATTTCCAAAATACATGAAGAACTCACAGGACTCCACACCAGAAAGACAAGCAATTCAATTAAAAAGTGGGCAAAGGAACTGAACAGACACTGTTCATCTCATCTTATTAAACAACAGATTAGGGACTGAGGGAGGCCCCCTCCCTGAGGCAGGAGAAGAATCCTGAACAATTTATCTTCAGAATAAAGGCACGCAGGCACACAGTGGAAAAATGATCACATGGACGAGTCAGGCTGAAAAAGCTGTGCACCCCGACCGCGGATGGGCCCGCCTTACCTTTGTTGCAGAACGTGCCGTCATAGGCCGTGTGGGAGCAGTCGCAGGCGTAGCCGTGGTACTTCTCCACGCACTTGCCTCCGTTCTCACAGTTGGCCCCATAGCTGGTGCAGTGGCCTGAGCAGCCGGACTTGAAACCGGAAGTGACCTTTGCTCTCTCCTCCAGGTCCAGCGTCACCCCATTCATCCTCAGGGAGCGGATGCAGCCCAGGAAGCCCTGTTGGCCTCCGGCGCCACCTGCAAATGACAGAAGGCACGCAGCTCAGACAGGAGGGCCTCACGTGGCTCTGCTGCTGCTCGTTGTGCCACCAGCGGGAGCGGAGGCGCGGAGACGGCCACGGGCAGCCAGCATTCTGACCTGTAAGTTGGTCTTGCTTAATAGAGAAACTGGGTGCTTCCCCCCTGTGGCTACAATGCCTAATTAAAAGAGGCTGTCTTCTGAGATGCACTCAGACCTGGCTTGGAGATACACAAAAATCACATAAGCCGATTTGAAAGTCTCGTCTGGTTTCCTACAGAAAAGAAGTTTACAGACATCTCTAGGTTCCTTGCTCTTTAATCTCATGGCATTCAGTTCCAAACCATTGTCTATTGAAAGAAATAGAGAACGTTAGTGAGATATGACTATATTAATATAATTAACAAGTCAACGGTTGCAAGGGATAAGTCCACTTGAAATGTGACCGTAAGTCCTGGGTCCTATCTCATGAAATGGTTTGTTTTGGGGTTCACCTTAAGGGCTCCCAGGGCCTTGTCTGGGGTGGATGGAAGTTGGAATGAGTAATTTTTCACAAAAGCCAGCAACACCACATTTATTAGCAGGTCAGGCTAGACTTCACTCCTTTTGCGTAAGTGTCATTGCAAGACATACAGCGCAAAGAGCAAGTCCACTGTGATTTTCTATGTTACAGAGTTAGATAAAGGTTCACGAGCATGAAAATATTAAAATATTCCTAACCAATTTCATAGCAGGATTCACTGGAGCATTATGTCTAAGCAGATTTAATTGTGTCTGTAATTACCTTAGCTATGCTTTTTTATTTTAAAGCAGTTGGTACAAAAGGAGGAACTCAAGTTTATATACATGTCAAGTTTATATATATTTTAGAGCAACAACTTTTCTGAAAATTAAATAAAATGAATAGTATTTAATATTATTAAACAAAATATGATGGCTTTTTAGAAAGAAGATACTGTTAATAAAAAAGTTACTCTTATTGAAGGCTAGGTAGCAGATACTCCACTATATGTCACATATTATATTAATCACCAGATTCTCACAGCAACCCGGCAAGCAAGGTACAGTTATCACTATAGCCATTGCACAGATGAGGAAACAGGCTTGGGGAAACTCAGGCGTCCCTTGAGGACGCGAAGCTCCCAAGTGGCAATGTTGTGTCCGGTCTGCCTTAGTCTCAGGCCCACGGTCTGACATTCTGCTCTGTGCTGCCCACCTGATGCAGAAGAGCTTCAGGGCCAGGCCCAGGGAGGTCCGTGTGGGACGCCTTCAAAAGTAGGGTGGGCAGCAGGATGGTGCAAGTTAAGGGGGGGCTGGTAGTCTGGGGACTGAGTCCTGTCACTTGCTGCATTATGCTGAGTGAAGTGTGCAGCGTGGCGGATCGAAGGCTTGCTGGCAGAGACAGACTTGCTCAGGCCCGTCCATCCTGAGCCACGAAACGAGAAAGGGGGCACTTTGCTTCTTCTCAGACCCAGGGCCTGCAGTCCTGCCACCGGGTGGTACAAAGGTTTGAATACGAATTCTCTAGGGGTTATTTTTTTTTGTTATAAAGTGTTTGAAAGGAGGATTAATTGAAGGGAGTCCAATGCCCTTTTTGATCAAAGCTATGGGATAATAGATGGCAAAGAAGTTATTGTAAACAACCGCTTTGAAGGATTTCCCACTTTGCAATCTGCTTGTCAGCTTAGTCTCACACCTCTGTCCTGAAGAGAATCTGGGCCTTGGCTGTGACTTGGAAGAATTTCAAACCATTAGTCATCTTTTACGTGTTAAAATTTTAATCTGGCTTCTATCGTTTTAGCAACTATCATTTTTGTTTTTGCAAGAAGGGCTTGCCAAGGGCTTTTTGTCTAATAAATGCCTAGCCATTTAAATTTTCATTATTAGTCCATTAAGACTATCTTTATCAAAATATGCTAATACTAAAGACACATTGTTTTTAGATATCTCCCTCTCTTTTCCCCTTATTACAAAAGCAACAGATTTTTACTGTGGAAACCATAAACATACTGATAAGTGAAATGAAAAAGACGACTGTAATGCTGCTCAGATATAACTATGTACTTTCGCTTTTAACAAATAGCCTTTCTACTTTTATCTATGAGAATACACATTTGAAAAATGAAACAAAGGAAGGAATGGGATCATGATATACACAGTTTTGAAATTTGCTTTTTTGCACTTAATATACCGTGTTACGCTTTCTAAGCGATCAAGGACAACGGGAACCTCGTGTTTAAATCTGCACAGCTGTTTACTCGGTGAAGGCATGATAACTCAGCTCAGCCCTTCCACAACTACGTACGCCGATGTCCATTTTATATGATACTGTAATAAACATCCCTGTAAAAACCTTTGCATACGTGTCTAGTTTTTATTTAGAGTTAATTCTTGTAAGTGTAATTGCTGGGTATAAGGGCATAGACATTGTAAAGGCATGTCAAATATATTTTCCTCTAAGAAGAATTCAGCAATTTGTATTTTACCAGTACAGTACGATATTCCTACCTTCTCCACACCAAGTCTAATACTAGGCACAAGACCACTGAATTTATAGGCTGGGGGGGAAAAGAACGCATTGCGTAAATTTGCATTGCTTTAAATACTGTGATTCTATTTATTTTTATGTTTTACCAATTCTTATATTTTGATTTTTCATGTATGTTGCTTTTCGGGGGGGCAGATACGATATGTCATATTTCTTACTCATTTATAATAATATATTGGGCTTTAATTCTTTGTTATAAATTTGACAACTACATTGTTCCAGTTTGTATCTGTTAATTTGTATATGTTTCTTTTTCCTTATGAAAGTTTTGAATATTTATATAGTCACATCTGTCTATTTTATGCATGTGATTTCTGCCTTTGACATTAGATGTATGCAGATCTTCTCTAATCCAAAATAAGATAATTATTCAACTATATTTTCTTCCAGAACTTTTATAATTTTACTTCTCTTAACATCCTATTCTTTTAATATATCTGGAATGTATTTTATTTGGAAATAATCCATATTCAATGGGTCTCAGCAATAATTGAGAGTTTGAAGAAGAGACTCCAAGTAAATGTTAATATGGAAAAAAAAAAGTCAGAGATTTAAAAAGGGCCAACTGGCAGAGCAAATAATCTAGCTTAGATCCTATTTTTATCCACGTCAAGGCAAACATGTGAACATATGCACGTACACGTATGCAGGCCTCGACCAGCAAGGGTCGCAGGGGCAGCGCTTTCCCGCCCCTGCCGCTCTGCCTCCGACCCCTCCTGGCCGCGGAGCCCTCTGGGCTTCTGCGCTCACCCGGCTCCCTCCTGCCCTGGTGTTGACGTGGCCCTCCCTGTCAGGGCTGCCGGCTGTTCTGGGCTAGTTGTGTGGCTTTCACCGAACCTCTTCATCCCTCCCGGCACCAGTTTTTCCCACCCGTGAAGGAGGAGGCTGAACGAGGTGACGTCCGATTCCCCCGGCTCTGAAGGACTCTGAATGACTGGTCGGTGACGCACGACCTCCTCTTTGGAGTTCGTGTGTCCCCGTCTCCACTTCAGTAAATCACGCTCAACTTGCCCCCGCGTTCCTTTCTCTCTTCCTTTTCCTCTGTCGCGCTGCTGCCTGACTTGTTCCCATTCCTTCTCTTAATTGGCTGTCACGTGGGACTGTGATCTAATTTGCATTTGTTGCCTTCATTTAATAAAGTTTTGTGCTCTCTCTTCTTAACTTATAAAGGAGATAAGTGGGATGCCATTTCTCTCTCTCGAAGAAAAACTAAATAAGTTATGCTCTTTTCTTACTTAGATGGCCTCTGATTTATTAAGTTGGTCAGTGAGCTGAAAAGTACTTTTACTGATCTAGTTGATAATGAAGAAAAATCTTTTGTCCTGAAAATGGTCGTTACATGTTATGCAAAAGATGTTAATGCACTAGAACCAGTGATAATTATTTGAGCTCAACTCATGTGCTCTACAGAAATCTTTCTTGATGACACATGTCATAAGTTTAAATTGTAGATCTGCAAGCAAAAGTGCAACTTAACCTTCGTTAATTAGAAAACCAACATGCTGCCACTGGAGAGCGCCCCCGCCACGTGAGGGCTCCGTGCACAGCCGTCGGACCTGCGGTAATTATCTGAGATGAGATGTGCATTTAATTTGCAAATCATTTTTCATGGGAAATGCTATTCAAGTATTGCAATTAAGATTAATTATGAAAATTCCGTAACTGCTCGTAATGAATAATACACCATCACACGCAGAGAAGAATGAGGTGACATAATCAGGTATTAAATTCAACAAAAAGGGTGAAAATCCTGATCCACAAGAATGACAAGGACACACTGTTCTCAAGTTTGGAGCTTAGCGGTTTTCTAAGGAGCGAAGCTGGGCTCCCGCGCACCTGCCGTGGCCACTTGTTCCTTCGCAGACAAGGATCCCCGCCAAAGCTCACACACCTGAGACCTAACACAGCCCTTCCACAAGTAGTCGTTCCATGCCTGCTGGGAGCCAGGCCTTGCTTGTCTAGGTACCTGGAAGGAATTATGAAAGAAAATGCACACAAGTCTTTGCTCTATGGAGCTTCTATTCTTGCAGAGGGAGAAAGAAATTTAACTGAAAACGCCACATGCCAGCCAAGTCTCTTGGGTGTCAGAGGGTGACAACCACCAGGGGGGAAAATGTCAGGCAGGGCTCCGTGGGGCCGGGGGTGGGAGGGTGGGGGAGCTTAGGGTTTTGATAGACTCTGCCGAGAAAGGGACAGAGAGAGTATCCACCAGCATGTCCCTGGGGAGAAGGCTCCGGAGGAAGGGGCACTACTCTGCAGCAGGGGCAGCAGGTGGGGAGGGGAACGGGCGGGGGGAGACGGGGCACGGAATCAAGAAACACTACAAGGAGGGTGGGGTTGGGCACATGAAATAACACAGGGAGGCCAAGGCGAACGAGAAAAGAGGAAAAGGCTGCGTGATCCGGTTATGTGAGACGGATCCATGGGCGGGTAGCGAGATGCGTACTAGTG